TTTTCTTTTTTTTTAATATATTTTATTGATTTTTTTTTTATATACAGAGAGGAAGGGAGAGGGATAGAGAGTTAGAAACATTGATGAGATGATCACCTGCCTCCTGCACACCCCCCACTGAGGATGTGCCCGCAACCAAGGTACATGCCCTTGACCGGAATCGAACCTGGGACCCTTCAGTCCGCAGGCCGACACTCTATCTACTGAACCAAACCGGTCAGGGCCATCATTGATGTTTCTATCTCTCTCTCTCCCTTTCTTTCTGAAATCAATAAAAAATTTTTTTAAAAACAACCTCCAGAAAAGAACCATGTGGGGGTCCATGTTAAATGGGCAGTTAACTTGCTATAATCCTTGATGTATTTAGGAGAAATATAAAAATATTGATAATTTTATATGTTGCTTTAAAATTTTATAATTATATACATTTAAAATTTAAAGGTAACCACAAAGAATAAAAAAATAAGCTTTGGCAAGAAGAGAAAAATGTACTGAAAACCAAAAAGCCCAATTTAAAAGAGTAAAAATTAATCCCAATTACTATGAACTAAGTGAATTGAACACACCTGTTTAAAGACAGAGATTATCAGATTGGATTTAAAAACATAATCCAGGCATCTACTGAATGTCACTCTTATATGCTACATAAATTAAAACTATATCCAAAAAAATAAAAATAAAGGAATTTAGAATGGCATTTCATAAAAACACTTATCCAAAAAGAGCTGGAATGGCAGAACTAATAGCAGATGAAATAGAATTTGACTAAGTTTTCTAGGAATAAAAGGTGACATCATGTATACACATGGTTGAGTTTTCTTCCAGAAAGTGCTATCGTTTTCCATTTCCAGCAGCAAAGCATGAGTATTATTCCCAACAAGCACTCCAATGTAGGGCAGCATCAATATCTTGTTTATATCTGCCAATCTGACAAGCAAAAAGGAAAGGAATCTTTCTGTAGTTGAATTTCAAAGCCCATATTCTCTCTAATACAGCAGTGACCACACAACAGAACTGATGTTTTGTTTTTGTTTATATATTTTTATTGACTTCAGAGAGGAAGGCAAGGGTGAGAGAGATAGAAACATCAATGATGAGAGAGAATCACTGATGTGCTGCCTCCTGCACGCCCCATACTGGGGATGGAGCCCGCACGTGCCCTGATGGGGAATCGAACCATGAACTCCTGGCTTATAGGTTGACACTTAACCACTGAGCCATGCTAGCCAGGCAAAAATGATGTTTTGTGATCAATGGGGAGCCCTCAGCCCAGGGAAGCAGAAACTGCCCCTCCTGTGAGGATCCATGGGGACACTCAATAGCTGGGGTAGCGTCCAGGGAGGGGAGGGAGGACCCCATCCTTTCTCAGCACTGAGTCAGCTTGATCCAGGTCATCCCCCTCAGGTTACATCTGCTCTGCATTACTTTTCAGCAGCTTATTACATTTCTATTTACTTTCTGGACAATCATAGCAAAACTGTTCAGTACCCGAGGCAGCAAACAATAATAGTTCCCAACAACCACGATGAAGGACCAATTGCCCTTCAGTTTCACACAAAGTATTCATTTAAAACTCTTGCCTGGATTAGGTGCAGTTAACAATTTCCAGAAAAAAAAATCTCCCATGTTTTTCCCCTGAAAATAGGGCAAGAAAATGTTTTCTATGAAATTCAGTACAAATTTTCTGAAACTGTTCATAAAAATTCTTTGAACTTACAAACAGATGACTAATTCATGCCAGACACTCTGCTGGAGCCTTTCACACTGTTTTCTGACCCAGTCGTCAAAAACAACCCATTTAAGTGGTATTGCTGTCCCAATTTTATTGACAATCAAACTGAGCACCAGAGAGTCATTTAAGACTTGCCCAATGCCAAAAACCAACCAGAGGACCCAGGTCTCAAACCTAGACTACTGAGTTTGCAGAGGTAAGCTCTAACGCAGTCGTGTTATTCATCTCATCAGCATGGTGGAGACTGAAAATAATAATTTATCATTAACCTGCCTGGGTCATCTAGCATACTCTGTGTAATCAAGACCTTAGGGGGGGAAAAGCAGAGATTATGATTAATATGTGCAGAAACTTCAGATTCAATATTTCTAGTCATATTCTGGAAAAAATCTAATGCGTAGTTACAGCAACAAGCAGTTGGGTAAAGACAGTTAATCATTTCAGATAATGCTGGATTCAGGTGAAATTACTCCCTGACAGACTGAGCTTCTGGTTCTCGAGCTTTTGCTGAGGCAGCTGCTCTCCCTTGATGCATTAGAAAGATTTTTGATTTATAGTTTGAAGTTAAAATTACCAGAGAGTTTTAAAAGTACTGAGAAAGCCATATGCATCTTTCTGTCACCATCGCAATATACTGCTTTTCATTTTGCTGACATTTTGCCAGAGTGGCTAGAATCGAGGTCTGATAAAAAGAAAAAAAAATAACAGCTTAACAGGGAGAACATCATCAAACTATAGGATATGTTTTAAAGTCATGAAGTGAAAACAACACAACTAACACCACTTTGGTTTCTATAACCGCTTTCAGTGGGGAAAAAAGGAGAGAGAAAATAAGTACTGCCATGTTTTAGTGTGAGTTGTTTTCTCTGTTTGCTTTCCCTGCCAGAGCCACGTCCTATCTACCAGTATCTGTACGCATGCAGCAAAATGAAAACAGCCCTAGAGTGCTACAGGCCAGAAATGAATCTTCCCTTTATCTGGTATCACATCGATCCCAGAAGCATGTTCCTAAAGGAAGCCATCACTCACTGACGGGCTTGGTTTTGTTTCTGTTTTAAAGCATTCCCCCCAAAATCATCTCTACAAAAGAATGTCAGGCTCTTTAAAATTTTTCAGCAAGAGTTTTTTTTGTTTTGTTTTTAAGCAGCAAAAACATTCTGACAATTCTGAGCCAGATCACTTTCATTATTACTAGGGGTCTTTTTTTCCTGTGTTGTTTTTTTTTTTAATTATTATTATTGTGGCAAAATACCCATAAAAATTACCATCTTAACTATTTGTAAGTGCCATTATTCATGTTTTTTAATAAAAATAAGTAGCCTTTGGAATACTAGGAATGTTCCAGAGCGTGTCTCCTTTCCGGGGATGTAAATGTTTCTGCTGTTGAGGCTTCCTGCTTCATCCTCAGCATTCAGGTTTGCCTACTTCAGCTCCCATGGAGTCAAACAAGCACAAATCAGGTGCGAATCTGGTTGTCGAAGAACACCTTTTCCATAGGCAATATGGCTTAAATAAATTATATCCACAGATCGTTTTTCAAAGTCTCATTTTATCCTCACATATTCCAAAGTTTTAAAAATATTACGAAAAAAAAGCAAAATCATTTTAAGCTTCACCTCTTTCCTCTATTCAGTCTTTTCTTAAAGAGTGGTGGTGGATAGGGGCCAGGATGTAAAGAGCATTAAGGAGAAGCAGGAACACGCCTAAATGAACACAAAGATCAGTAGTTCGCTCTTGGAATAATCTAGAGTTGACATGTTTGAGAATCAAGCCTGTAATTTTCAGCTGTAAAAAGCAGGTCTAGGAAGGTAACAGGCAGCAAAAACAAAATAAAGTTCTAAAGAATGCTCTCAGTTCTTTGGGTTCTGTTCACAGGTTTTACCCAAAATATCCTATATACTTTTCATTAAGGCTTCTAACTATTAAATGCTAGTTACTCTCAATGGCAAAGCAAAATACAAATCAGTAGTTAATCACATGTTAAAAGAAGAGAAAATTCTTTAAAGTTGTTCTTGAAGAAGCTCCTGCTGTTGAATTAAAGGGAGTTTGGTGTTTTGTTTTTTTGTTTTGTTTGTTGTTGGTTTTTGTTTTTTGTTTTTGTTTTTGAAGAAGATGAAGAGGAAGAGGAGGAGGAGGAGAAAAAGGAAGAGGGGGAGGGGAAAGAACAATGCAGAGGAAAAGCCCTTTTATTAAAGATTAAGCAGCAAACTCAAGTTTAAAATTGAGCTCCATGTACACTGTTTCTCCAAAATACCTATTCTGGCATGTTCTAAATTACATGCCATCTCTGGCTGGGAATAATAGGCCAAGATAGGCCAATCCCAGAAGGCTGGTGATCAAACAGAAGCCAGCTACACTCAGGAGAATTTTTCCAGTATCTCCCTACAAAATGCAATTAGCTCAGCTCTGCTTTTAGGAACACAGTTCAAAGTTGGAGTCTCTTTTTTGCTATCTATTCACAATAAAATATTTGTAGAGATTTGACATCCTTTGAACCTAAGTATTTCTCAGTTGCAACACACATACTAGTAATGTCCATTCAATTTTACAAAGTACATTTTAATCAAAGCTACACATATTTTCTGACCTTTCAGAGCCTGGAGACTCAAAAAAGTTATTATAACAATGAGAAATATGATACACAAGCAATCTGTTATCAAATATAAACCTGACTCTGATTACTTTTTGTATTTGAGGCTAACAAATAGTTTCCTCTGTCTGAAAATTTTAAATCAATTGCCCATCGGAAATGGTATGCTGGAGCCTATGCTAGGAGTAGGTTTCTTAGTCGCCCTGTCCAGTCTTAGCCAAAACCTTACTTAGCCCTACTCAACAGCAACTAAATTTCTCAAATCAATATAAATATTTCTACATTTGTCAAAACCTTAGGTCTACAGAGTTCTCTATAAATAATGACGGATAATGAGTAAGGTTAAAGCTGGCCCTTCTAGTTACAAAATAGTCATGGGGATATAAAGTACAGCATTGGGAATATAGTCAATAATATTGTAATAACTATGTATGGTGCTAAGTGGGTACTGGAAATATTGGTGGGATCACACTTTGTGAAGAATATAATTGTCTAACCCCAATGCTGTATACCTGAAATAATACAAAATAATATTGAATGTAAAATGTAATTCAAAAATAATTTTTTTAAACTGGACCTTCAACTATCCAATTCTTGGTTTGTATTAAAAAAAAATACACACAGTTTATGAGTTTGTTCACTTTACCTGATTATGAAATCAAATGAAAAAATTCTCACCTTGTGATGCCCAAATTCATTCAAAATGGTCCCCAGTTTTCTGGTGTTGCTATGCGGCTTCAGGGCAGCAACAGCTGGGTGGGGGTCCCGCCAGTCAACGGACAAGCGGTGATACCAGAGGCGCTGATGCTCCAGAATATGAGCCGACTTGACACTAGGATCAAAACGATGCACTTCACATCCGTTGTTGGCCATGCTAACTTCAAACTGGGTATCATCACTTCCCAGCCTGCAGAAAGAGAGGAGAATGGCAATCAACACACAAAAACATGTAATGAAGCAAAAAGTGTTGGGTTGACAAAATGATAGTTCCAAGGCCAATTTTCTTAGTTACATCAAGCCTTTTCCTATTTTAACACGTGGCTAACTGTACACATTCAATAATCCTTCTTTCACAAAGAGCACTACAGCCGGAAGCTTCTGGATAAGGGGAAGGAGGGAAATTACTTGCTAAACAGACACAGATCAGAGAATCACATGTTCAACATGGAGAAGCCTATCAAGTGTTGTTGTTTTTTAAGATGTAAAGCATAGTAGCAATGAAGCAAAGATTACCCAGCTGTCTTAAGAGATTTCCTCAGAACATGTCAAATATATATATAAGCCCCAGGATCAGTTCCCTTAGGGAGAGGTGCATTCTCCTAATGAGGTAATCCGTCTCCATCCCAATGGTCACAGTGCTGTGCGTGCAGTTTGACTTAAGGACAGCAGCTGTTTTCTTGGAAATAGAGTGTACTTGAAAATATCACTGTAAACAAAAGGCAAATGTACGTGGTCCCACTGGGTCTAGTGCTCAAGAAGCAGAGGAGATACCTCACCTAAAATTCACATCAACAGGAGAGAGACATTAGATTTAAGTACCCAGTAGGTGGCACATCGTGTGCAAAATTCATATACTTAAAATTGTTTATTTTACTCAAAAGTATTCCTTATTTAGTGATATAAGGTTCATCACTTTGATTAAAGCATTAATTTGAATGAAAACATTAACTGAGAGAAGATTATTTTTTTAATGGTGACTATGGCTTCTCTGCCCAAAATACTATAATTAGATGTGATTTAAGATGCCAAAAAATACCACAGAGTATCTATAATAAATTGGCCAAACCTGAACCCAGGGCAGAAATACTTCATTCTGTTAGACTCTACTATTTCAGATTATTTCAGGATTTTGAAATATACTAGCTCATTGGATAATAATTATTTACCCCGTTCTAGTTAAGTACAAAATAGTTTTCAGTGCAGAGAGTCTCCACTTAGACATTCTTATACTCTAATTTGCCTTGTCCTCTCCCTTCACTCCCACTACATTGCTCTTTTCTTCACTGATCCATGGCCCTCTGATATTGCTCAGTTACAATTCTCTCTATCCTTTGGCCTAGAGATTCAGCACTCCTCTCACAAAACCTCCCATTCCTTTTACCCAAGAGATCCCGTTTCATATTTTCAACCTCTTGTTGAACCCACACAGTTCAGAATATTGTAATCTCCACTAAGTTTTCCATGATCTAATCTGGTGTGGCAGAATGACTACCTAAGGATAGATGGGATGGACCTGGCACTGTTTTAGGTCCTTGGTTATTCTTTTAAAAATATTCCTGAGAGTACTAAGGTGAGTGTCCTTTATGATCCCCAGGAATCAAAAACTCAGAGCATAAATACATAAAAAGATGCTCAAGATCTTAGTCAATAAAGAGAAACAAATTAAAATTTCAAGGAGATACCACTTCACAGCCACAGCGGCTATAAGGTGACTGCCCTTCTGAAGGCTACAATCAAACGGACCAACAATGATGTGTCCACAATGATGTGGAGAAATTACAACACTCATACATTGCTTGTGGGACTTTAAAATGGTATATATCCAAGAGAAATGAAAGTAAATGTCCACATTAAAACTTACACATGAATTTTCATAGCAATCTATACTAATAAAAGGGTAATATGCTAATTAGACCGGGAGACCTTCTGGACAAAGCCATGGTGGCGGGCCGAGGCAGAGGCAGTTAGGGGCGATCAGGCTGGCAGGGGGACAGTAGGGGGCGAGCAGGCCAGCAGGGGGTGGGGGGGAGGGCAGTTGGGGGCAATCAGGCTGGCAAGGGGGGGCAGTTGGGGGCAAGAAGGCTGGTGGGGGTGGCAGTTGGGGGCAAGCAGGTTGGCAGGCAGAGTCATTAGGGGCGATCAGGCAGGCAGGCAGGTGAGCGGTTAGGAGCCAGTGGTCCCAAGGGGTCCCAGATTGGATAGGGTGCAGGCCGGGCTGAGGGACACCCCCCTATGCATGAATTTTATGCACCGGACCACTAGTATATTCCTAATAGCCAAAAAGAAGAAATAACCCAAATGTCCATCAACTGATGAGTAGCTAAATAAAATACAATATATCCATACAATGGACTATAATTTGGCAATTAAAAGGAATGAACTACTGATACATGTTACAACATTATGTGAAAATATTATACAAGAGGGTAGGCGTAAGGGGGAGAGATCAACCAAAGGACTTGTATGCATGCATATAAGTATAACCAATGGATGCAAACACCAGGGAGGTGAAGGCATGAACATGAGTGGGGTGGGGGGGCAATGGGGGGATAAAGACACATATGTAATATCTTAATCGATAAAGAAAGAAAAAATAAAATTAAAAAAAGAAAGATAGAGAAAAAGAAAATATTATGCAAACTGAAAAAGCCAGTCACAAAAGGCCACATATGCTATGCTTCTATTTATTTGAAATGTCCAGAGTAGGCAAATCTACAGAGACAGAAAGTACATTAGTGGTTGCCTAGGACTATGAGGTGAAAGGGCGGGAAGAGGGTTGGAAAGAAATTGGGAGCAGCTGCTACTGGAATACAAGGCTTTTTTTGAAGGGGGAGTTGGGGGGGGGGGAATAAAAATGTACAAATGACTATAGTGAGAAAAACCACTAAATTGTACATTTTAAGTGAGTAAACTGTGTGGTATGTGGATTATATCTCAACAAAGCTGTTAAAAAAAACTTCAAAAATAAAATCAGAGCAACTGTAGGGAAAGTCTTTAACCCACACCATTGAGGGCAGAAGGGTTGAAAAAGTATGACAATTAGCATTTTTCCCCAAGAGTTTCAAGAGTCCATTTTTCATGCCAGCATGAACCAGAGAATCTGGACAAATGATTATCTATCTTGATATAGATAATTAGGTGATCTATTACATAATTATTGAAATGATTATAATTAGATCTATAAACTGCCAACTACTGGAAGGAAATAGGTTTTCCAAAGCATTAATGACACTAAATAGTGGATAAAAAATATTTTATAAGTATTCATTTTTATTAAATAACATTGCATAAAAATGTCAACTTTTTTTTACATATATTCTCAACAGAGATGATCTCACCCTTAAGGGGGCAAAAATTGATTCTTGGGGCCCAAAACATCTTCCTCTTTTTACATATAAAACACAGATATACATATAATATATTATTATATATTATATAATACTAGAGGCCCAGTGCACAAAATTTGTTCGGGGGGGGAGGGGGGAGGGTGTCCCTCAGCCTGCCTGCACCCTCTCACAATCCGGGACCCCTCGGGTAGGGTCCCTAGGCCTGGCCGGTGATCAGGGCCTATCTGGACTTTCCTTTCCCTGGCTGCCAGCAGCTGGCCCTGCCCCCACCCCTGCCGCTGCCACTGCTTGCCATCTGTGCAGTGCTGCCCCCCCTTCCCCGCCACTGGTCGCCTCCCTCTGAGGGCGATAGGCATGGGTGCCATTGCTTGGCTGGCCTGGGGCTCCCTCTGTGGGGCGATCGCTGGCTGGACCCACACACCTGCCACAGCACCACCGGCCAGGTAGCCTGGGCCTCCCTCTTTGGAGCCCCAGGATCGATCACCCAGCAGAGTGAGGGCCCCGCCCACCTGCCTGGGGCTCCGCGATGGGGTGGCCTGGGGCCTCCCTCTGCAGGGTGATCGTGGAGCGATAGCAGAGGCCCCCAACCAATCACATCACACCTGCTTGGCTGGCCTGGCTCCAGTGCGTGTCATAGCGTGGTCATCCGGAAGGTGGTCCTGATGGCCATTCTGCTATTTGGTCATTCAGTCGATTTGCATATTATTATTATAGATATTATATATATATATGTAAACAGATTATAATAAACCTATGATATTAAAAATTTCATGGGGTGATAATTATTTAAGAAGTTTCCTTGTGTCCACGGCTTTCTGATTCCTCATTCGTACACGCTGTGAGCTCCTGTGTTAATTACACGAGTATAAGATGAACATGTCTGGCTCTGGAGATCAGTCATTGCTCTTGACGTGCTCATGGCAACCGAAGTCCCAGATTTTCTGTATAAAATATTGCTCTTGTTGCTTAACCGTGTGTCATCTATCAAATCTTCTTCTGTCTAATGCTGAGAATTGTCTTAAAACCAAATTAATATCTTCAACCCCCTCTCCCAAAGAACTAAAGAAAAGATGAAAAACATTTGTCTGTATATGATCCCATCTCAAGTTTTCACTTCCACTCACACTCCTACCCCTGAAATTCAATCTTTCACATGAAGGATGAAATAGGTGATTTTCCTCAGTTCACTCTCGCTACCTCCCTCAGCCCCCAGCCCCCCCACCAGCTCCCACCATCACCCTCCACCCTACACACAGGAAGACTTGCAGGGCTGACACGTCCCAAGTTCTACGGGAGATGATATTATCATTTGAACCCACAGCCTCTCATTTATCAGTTCCCTTCTCCATAACATAATGTTCCTTGTCAGTGCTTTTCCTGTCTTAATTGGTCTATTCTACCCATTTCAAAACTGAAAAGGATCTGACTTTAGTTTTCAACTGACCTTCATACAGAGTACACTTTCCCAGAAAAAAAAAAAGTCCTTTATGTAAAATAAAAAGCTTTGGTTCCTAGTAAAGAAACTTCAGAGAAAGGTGGAGATGATACCTGCTCCAGTTCTTGGGGTTGGGGAAAAGGTAGGAAACAGACCAAGAGGCAGGGCAGTCAGCCTGTGTCCTCTGATGCTCAGGTCCTCAGATCCCTTCCTTCCTCACTCAGGAAGGTAACCCTCAGTTGCAGCTGCACCCATCGTCCTCCGTTAGGATGGAAATGACTGGCACAGCAGTGGCACGGTGTTGCTGCTGCCATGGCCCTGGGGCTTGGAGTACACGCTGCCTGGATGTAGGGGCCATATGACCCACCTGCCCTCCCCACCTATCTCACAACTGTCCCAACACTCCCAATGCGGGGAACCCAGGCACCTCATCTCAGGAGCACCACTCTGAGCTGGGTTTCTTTCTTCCTTCAGCATCAATTGAGATGCTGTCAGCTGCTACTTATCCGTCCCCCGAGCAAGCGATTCACCTGAGAAAGGGGATGCTTGCCTGGACCCTCAGTCCTGTAACTGTGTGATCAGCATCTATACATCCACAATCCAAAGCATCCTTATTTAGGGCATAAGAAATGATTTCTTTAGTTTCCAGTTTTCAATTAAGCATCTTCAGGTTTTGAATCAAATATTGGCCCTCATAATCTATTCATTTCTATTTCCAGGGGAATTCAAATGTTCTTATCTGCTCTTTACAAAGTTGATTTTGAATAGTGAACATTTAAATGAAAGTAAGAAACTACCTTTTTCCATGTAATAATCAGATATCTTACAGCAGAACCATCTTATCTAATGGCACTGAAGTATGGGGAAAGCAAGAAGGAATTTAAAAAATCTCTCCAAAAACAGCTTTTCCAGTTTCATTTTACTCAATTATATGCTTGAAATAAAATTATTCCGGGGTGTAAAATATTAAGCAACATATAAAAAGCAATTTGGAGCAAGAAAATAAGACCAAGCTGAGATCTCTAATTTGCATGTGGTACTATGCAATTATTTTTATGGCCTACTTTCATACATATTTAATATGATATAAAATAAACTCTCCTGTCACAACTTCCCATTCTTCCTACAATCTTGAAGCAGAGCTGCTGGGCTCCCAGCAAAAGAGCTCTAATCCACTGGCTGAGCAATTTATTTCCTAATCCTCAAGCCTCCAAGTTTAAATCACAGCATAGCCAGCTTCCTCCTTAGTCTCCTTACCTCAGCAACCATTTATGTAACAAACACAGGGTGTCCCCCAAAATGTATGCACACTGTAACAGCTGATAGCTGTTAAATGAAAAGGAAATACGTTTAAATAAACACTGCCTTTATCATTGTATTCAAAGTGTGTATACATTTTGGGGGGACACCCTGTATATACTGAGTGCTTGTTCTTATCCAGTTCCACTGATACTCTTCATTCAACCCACAGAAGAATGTTTCTATTATCCTGAAACTCTTATTTGAAACATTTGTGGGGTTTTTTTAAGTCCATGATGACTATAATTAAGAATTCTTGTTTTGGTGAAGTTTTACAAGCGGTGGTCATCCTCCAGGCATCAGCACCTGTGGGTAGGCCTCCCCATCACCCAAATGTCTGCCCCTAAAGCTTACCATCTAGGATTCTGGTGCGCAGCTGTCACTCATAGGCCTGAACGTAAATCTTAGCGGTGTTGAAACCTATTGGCGAGGAACAAGCCTATGACACTTGTTGGGGTCCCCGGAGCTTCCGTGAAGGACCTCGGGTGTCTTGCCTGAGGACCTAACTGCATGGCTTCCACAAAGAGTCTATAGACAGGGTGCTCCAAACAAAAATAACTCTCTCCTGCCTTTTCTGGGCATATACCATTTGTAAGTTCAGGACTGTTTAATGAGTCCTGGTGTATTTGGTGAAATAGTTTCATTGCTTTATGTTCACCCTTTTACAAAAAGCTCTCTAAATCAATTTGTACATTTAGGTCATTTTCAGCCTGAGTAACTGAATATCAATATTTCCCACAGTTTTGACAAAATCTGTGGTTTCATAAGAAGTTCCTTTTCTTTCTTTCTTTCTTTTTTAATGGAAAAAGATGCCCAGATTTACCATTGGTGCAAAACATCCAAGTCCAATCGTGGCCATTTGCCTTGGGCCACTCATCATACTGTGCCTAAAATGTCTCACAGCCTCACTGTTCTTCCTTTTCTCTAGCTGCACTCTTAATATTTTTCTCTCTCTTTACAATAAGGATGCCCTAATTCTCGCTGGAAATCACTGACTTCACCAAGAGGATCATCATTATGCTGAAAACTGAAGTTGCCAACTCACTCCCTGCAGAATGAGAAAGTGGCCCTGACCAATTCGGGTGAACTGCAAGGACCCATAGTTACATCACAGACAGACAGTCTGGACGATGGCAGGAGGCAAAGCAGAGCACCTGCCATACTCTGCACCCATTCATAACTACGTGTCGCTGGAAAGACCTTAGCCGCCTGCAGAAGTGTTTTTGTTCTCTTCTGCTGTAAAATGTACTCACCCTAAAGAGTAGAGACGGCACTGCTTGTTGCGGATTTGATGAGCTAAGCCAAACCTGTCATCAAGACAAACCGACCAGGGCTGCTTAGCAGAGCTGGAGTCTGTAGCCAGGCTGTCGGTACTCACGTGATCACATGCAATCTGTAGGGATTGGAAATCAATGTGAATAATTTAAAGAGTTGGATGATAAATGGCAGGTGGGCACTTACTGCTTCCCTGGGCCCTGAAAAACCATAGCGGGAGAGTTCTGTCCTTCTCCACTGCTAGCTATGCCCTTCCCTGGGGGAACACAAGGCTGCCGTAACATGTTCAGAGGAATTCCTAGTACCAGGTTATGAATAACCTCGTGGAGACTATAGGCAGGTTTGAAGGGACGTTACGAGCTGCTATAGCCGTATGCACAGAGCACACAGGGGAGAGCAAGTCAGGAACAATGACGGCAGGGAGGAGGGGTAAGGAAAGGCTTCACAGAGTTGTGTCAGCCTTGGAGGATGAACAGAAGCTGAGACCACGAGGACATTCCAGACATGGGGAACAGGGCTCCGAAAACACAGAGTCAGTTACCCATAGCGTTCCTACTAGAAGTCGTGAGATACGCCCACAGGCCTGGGTCTCAGGAGGATACAAGATTATTGATTCCTTATCTCAGGCAGATAAGGTGGGGCCACCAGGGTCCAGATAGGTAGCATGTGTTACCGAGGCTAACAGCTGATCAGGGGTCATGGAAAATTAATCCTAGTCCACGCTAAGAGGACAGTTCGCTTTGTAACACACTCTTCTCATGAGCTTCCTCCTGGGGCAGAAGAGCAAGGGCCCCCTCCAGGAAGGAGGCTCTCCCTGAGCTACCCAAAGCACTTCTCTTAACCCACCTGCCAATATTAGATAAGAAAACCAAAGGGAACTGGCATCTAAATCAAGCAGAAGCAAGTCTCTAATTTCAAATGCACATGAAGTAGTAAATATCTTTCTAAGGACTTGTGTTTGAGGCTGACACAGTGTGCACGGCAGGGGCTGCTGGAACCAAAGAAAACAAGACTGGCCAAGGTGTTCACCTTGCTGAGCAAGAGCACTTCCCTTTAATCCCTCAAACTCTCATAGTCATCGCAATGTCCCGAGAATCTCAGGCTCTTGCTGCCTCATCACAGACAGCAGACCACTCCAGATGCAAAAGGTGTTTTGAGGTTCAGTGCTTTGATTCATTGGAAAACAACACAGCAAACAATTTTCCTCTTAAGAAGATCTTGCCAATCCTTTAATTTAACCATTTTTTCAAAATTTTAATCTGAGAGGAGTTTATAATGTGGCACCTATTCAACTAATACAGCATTTCCCTTACTCTTGTAGTTTAGGGGCTGACCTGGTAAAATCACCCTAGCACTATCAGTGAATATGACAGAGTCTTCTGCTAGGATTTGGACATTAGAGGGAAGCTTAACAAGTGAAACAATATAAATATAAATATAAATATAAATATAAATATAAATATAAATATAAATATAAATATAAATATAAATATAAATATAAATATAAATATAAATAAATATGTATATATACTAGAGGCCCAGTGCACGAAATTCATGCACAGTTGAGGGGTCCCTTAGCCTGACCTGCAACGACGCCAACCTCCCTCGCCCCCCAGCCTATGGCCCAAGGCCCCTCCCCTCCCTCCACGAGGCCGGGGCTGCTCCCCTTCCTCTGCACGGCCAGGGCACAGACACTGGGCTCATGTCACCAGGGGCAAGGCGAGCCCAGCATCCCGCGCCCAGGCCTCTGGCCAGAAGCCCCTCCCCTCCCTCTGCGTGGCCAGGGCACAGATGCTGGGCTTGTGTTGCCGGGTGACACCACCAGCGCCCCACCCCAACCACTATGGGCATGGCCATCTTTGTCGTGGAGTGATGGTTAATTTGCATATTACTCTCTTTTTATATATATATGCCTAATATGCAAATTGTCCCCTCTGGAGTTTGACTGGGAGACCAGGAGTTCCATCGCTCACTATGATATGCACTGACTACCAGGGGGCAGTGAGGAATGAAGGAAGTCCCTGTCCAGCAGCTGGCAGCTGGGGAAGGGAGGCCCCAGCTGGCAGCCAGAAGGAAGGTCCCGGCTGGCAACCGGAAGGCCCCAATTGGCCCTGATCACCAGCCAGGCCTAGGGACCCTACCCGTGCATGAATTTTGTGCACCGGGCCTCTAGTATATTTATATTATTTTCCCTCAACCCAGTATCTCTGTCTACAACCACTGTTTAAAGGGGGAAAAATAATAAATGGAATTGAATTTTCTCCCAAGCAACTAGGACACATTTATTAACTGAGTGTGGCAACATATTACTTTGTGTAATTTATTCCTATTATTCTCTCACAGATAAATGGAAACTATGCCTCTGCCTGCCCACCTGCTAGTCTCCACCCACCCACTAACAGAGAAGCTGCTAATCTAATTAGTCAGAGCTGTGTGTTCACTGGGCCTGTTTTTGCTAGTGGGCAAGTTACTGTGCCTTAAACATCAGCACCTCCACGGGCACTCTGTTCATACCCTGCCTCCTGCTGCAGTTAGGGAGGCCAGGGCAGTTGTGTGGGCCCCCAAGGCACACCTGGTCCTCAGAGCTGAGCCACTGGCTCCAGGGCAGCTTCCTGGGGGATGTTTATTAAAGTGCCACGGCGATGCCCATCTGCTGCTGTCCTTGTGTGGACCCCTCCCTGTAAACTGCCATCATAGCAGATTAGGATAGGGATGCTCATTGTTCTTACTCATAATTCCCTCCTAACAGCATGAGAGCCTAAGTCTGGCTTTCCCCACAGTGTTCCTCAAGGTGTGGTCCCCCTACATTCTGATGGACGTGGGAGGTACTTCAAAATGCAGATTCCTGGGTGCCACTCCAGATCTGTCAAATCAGCATCTTTGAGGCTGACGCATGCATCTTCACAAGTTTGCCAGGTGATTATTATGCCAGTGGTCTACTGCACCCTTTGTAACGCCCCATTGAAATGTTCAGCCGGCCTCCCCTGTGCTTTAGCAAATTAAGAGAAGAGGCTACTCTTAGGCCAGAGCTTTCACCTGAAAACAGCAGTCCCAACCCCACCCCTAACAAAGCCAGAGAGGCAGGACCGGCAATCAGCCAGAGGCCTCTAAGAGTCAGGTAAGTATTGAGGGTCAAGATTCAGGGCTTTGGGGTTCAGCTGCTCCTCCTTTGCCAACATTGGAAGTAGAGTTTTATTCTATTAAAAAGGACACTTTAAGCATTTCTCCTTCTTCCACAGACTTCATCTTGCACAGATAGATCCCTATTGGAAAGGCATTCTTTTCCATTCAATCTCTTTGCTAATGTTCCCCCTTTCTCTCCTAGTTCAAAAATAAAACACAGTTCTTCCATTTTAACCATTTAATAACTATCTCATTGATAGACTTTAGCTTTTGAAAACAACTAAAGTAAAATTCAGTTCCTAAAAATTAATTAAATATTGATTTTTCAAACTTCCTGGTTAAGATTTATGGCTAGGGCTTCCATAAACCCTCTTGCAAGCAAATAAGTGAGGGCAGTAACTCCTAGCTAAACTTCAATTCCAGTAATTATGTCCCCCCCACCTCCCTCTCTCTCTTCCCCCCACCTCTTCTAATTCCCCTTATAATTTTTGCCATATAAAAGCAAATTAGGTATAGACAAAGAAAAATAGACTCCAGGGAGAAAAATGTTTTCTAAAATGCTTTTTAGTTATTTAACTTAAAGGAATATAATTTATTTTTATTTTCTGTTGTACTGAAGAAGCTTGAATAGCCTTTCTGCCAATCCACAAGTGGAACCTGGCGAAGGGAGCCCTTAAAATTTGTGGACTTTTGGCAAGAATCACTTCACTGACCAACTGTGTGTTTATGTAATACCACCATTGGGAAAGGCAAAATCTCAAGGAGAGGGTTGTGTTTTTCTTGCTTTTATCCCAATTTGTGTGTGTGTGTGTGTGTGTGTGTACATGTGTGTGTGTAATAGTAAGCATAAAAGCATATAGTTATGAAGTTCTAAAGTCTCTCTCCAGAATCCAGGTTCTAATGTTATTCTCAAAAAAATAGGTAGAAGGGTACATGATTAGATAGATAGATAAATAGATAGATAGATAGATAGATAAGAGTTTAAAACGCATTTTATTTTTTTTAACCAGCAACTGTTGCTTAGATTAATTCTGTGCTGCATGGCATGCTTCCTGGAGGCATATGGTTTGGGGGATGCCATCAAAAGCTAGATCTGGAGCCTTCCCTTAGAACCGAGCTCTGTGTTTGTGATTTAACCATCAGTGTATCATCAACTGCAAAACTCAGAGATGTAACCGTGGTCTTTCACATTAGAAAACAACACCTGATGCGCTGGAGCTTGACGTTCCCTACACTCTACCCACACACCACATCCTCAGGTGCTGCATTCAAAATGCAGGGCCCCAGTCATGCCACCAGAGTCGCCACAATGCAAGAGCAGGAGCTCCATCTCCTCGGAGTCCGGCGCCACCCTGTGCCACGCACAGGGCTCCTGTTCCTCAGCTCCCTTAGCCTGGGGAAGCGTCACCCACCGTTTACCCTGCTGGAGAACACACAGCTCTCCTGCACCCTGCCTGCTTACCAGGGTGAGCGGGCATCTAATTCAGGTTTGGCATCCCAGCCTGTGTCCAGCACAGTGCCAGCCACAAAGCAGGAGCTCAACAAACATCCACTGAATTGAGAAAAGAATAAATCAATGATGAACACACCAAATGCTGGGCCTTGCTGTACAAGTTTGAACACAGATTTGAGGGAAATAATTTTTTTTATTTTAAAAAGCAGCAGAGAGGACGGGGGTGGAATTTGCTTTAGTACCTTCAGAGGTTTAATTTCTTTTCCTTGCCCATTATGACTCACTTCTGCTAACTGGAAATTTTAGGTAAGAGTGACTCTAATATTCTGCCAGTTTTATAAATTTTCATTTTCAAAATGAATATTAAATTAAGCATAGCCCCAAAAGCACCCAAAAAGCTCTGCATTGCATAGAAAGGGGGAGAGAGCCCTGGGTAGCAAAATATTCTATTTAAGCACAAATTAGTGTCATCTCTGATGAGCTCCCACCTGCTGGGCTCCGAATGACCTGGAAGTACATAAAAGCACAGGATTTCATCTGGCTAAAGTGACTCCTGATCACAAAACCATTCTGAGGTCTGGAACTTTATCTTATTCTTTCTGGAGGACAAAAATCCTCCTAATGAGCTTCATCAACCAAAATTCTATTATTGTACTCACCAAGCTGAATAAGCATTGCATGTCCATTTCTCTGCCTTTCCAACTAGTTTGTTAGCCTCTTGAGGCTCGTGTTATATCCCCAGGGCCTAGCACAGTTCCTGGCACATAGTAGATGCTCAAAAAACCCAAAAAAACCACACAATCCTACACTACTCTCAGCACAGTACAAGGTCACAGGACTGAGAGGGACCTTAGAAACAATTTAGTACTCTTCCTTTTCAAGATCAGAACAGTGAGAGACACAGAGAAGCAAAATAAATTGCCCAGGGTCACAACATCAGAGCACATAGTAGCATGCTTTTGTTTTATTCTTTTAGAATTTTTCTCCTCTCAGCCCGTAAGTCATGGGAAAGATCCAAGAGAGGCTTGAGATGACCCTTTCATGCCTCAAGAGCCTCTTCTAAGTAAATACGTCTTTTAGAAGTTACAGAACATTAACCTGCAGTACGTACGAGATGGGATGTAGAGGCTTTCACTTGGTCCATTTTGGGGGGGGGAGCCCATCGTTCTCAAATTCAACTCATAAGTTTCACATCTCTCCCTTTTCTCGGGGGCCTTTAAGGGCTTCTTAAAAGTCACAGTAAAGAAGTCCAGCTTCTTATTCTTCACGTAAAACCAAACCATAAAATTACAATTTCAGTATTTTAATTAAGTCTGTGTGAGGCCACCAAATTCATCTGTAGCAGCAGAATAAGATAAAAACTATGTAAAGCACAGGGACCAATTTATCATCCCCTTCCTCATGATTAATTCAACACGCTTTTACTTCCATGTCTAGGTGACAAATATTAAAATCCCTGATTGACTGCATCCTATGAGAAATGAGACTTTCTTCTACCTCTAAATTAGCCTTCTACGGATCTAGGAATACATTCTCTCCCGTGGATGAAAAATGGGCTTTGCTGCCATGAGGTTTGGGAGGAGGAGTGGAATGCCAAGAGCCAATGGGTTGAAGGGACATCAAAGAACAGGGGTCCCCAGTGCCACCCCAGCAGCCAGTGAGGCTTGCTGAGTGGGCCTGTGCCTCACAGACAGCCTGAGTTGTTAATTTACTAGCACCTCTCAATTCAGGGCGACGTTTCCCCTCCGGCCTCCATTTCCTCTTCTGCCTCTCTCCCCAGGATCAGGCTACTTGAGAATGGAACCTCCTGATTAATGTGTCAAGAATCACAGACTCTCCTTAATGGACGATCTCTCTGCCTGCTCGGGGCACCGACTCAGCCTGCCGAGCTGGGCGGGAGCTGCCACAACGTGTTAAGTCACGAACACAGGCCAGTGCTCGGTAATGATTCAAAGGGCCCCGGAGAACAGAAAGCCTCTGGATTCATAAGCTTCTCCTTGGACTGCCTGCGGGAGTCGCCTCTGCTCTCTGGCCTGGCACGTCCGTCTGCCCAACGTCTATGGCAGAAAAGCAAGCAGGCGGATTCCCCCAGATAGAAAACGAAGCTTGAACCTCCTCCGGATGAGGGTTTTGTCTTGTGACACACTCGACTGCCTACTCACGGGCGCACATCTGTCTCTTCAAGTGGGTTTCCAAAGCCATTTTCTAAAGTGGATCCTTACAACACATCAGGATGAATCATGAAAATGTGTCAGGATGGCGATGCTCCTGGAAGGGAGAGGATGCTGACGGGCACAGAAGGCACCCTTATCTGCCTCTAAGAGAGCGGATACACACAAGCAGCGATGCCCCAGAAACCATGTCCCTCTCAAGTCCCCATCAGGAGTTGTTGGAAACCTCCCCACCCCTCACCGACAAATCCTTCTTCAAAAGGGGCAATCAGCATCTTTTGCATCATCTCCAAACCCCCTTGCGCATGAAACACAACCTGGGTGGTGCTGATATATCTCAGGAACCTCAAGGCTTCTTCATCCAGGGACTGAGCAGGGCCTGCCCAAGGCTGCAGGTCTATGTGCCACCGGGAACCCTGCGAGAGAGAAAACAGAGGTCGGTGTGTAAGGGGGGAGGAGTTTGGGGGTGGGGCGGGAAAGAATTAGAGTATGAGAGGAGGCGACAAGGCTGCTCATCCTTTATGTAAAACCAGCGGCCTGCAAAGCAAGCCCGCCTGCATGCAGGGGGCAGGGAGCTGGTTGAGAGCTGCTGTCATTGAGACCACATCAGTCCCAGGGAGACAAATGAGGCCTGAGAAAGCCTAGCTAGCAGGCTGAGCAGAGATTGCAAAGACGTCCCCCTGGGACGCTGACTCTTCTGATCAAAGCAAACTCCACTTGACCCCATTGGGCTCTCTCAGCGGCAGCTTTGCATTACCCACGCTGATCCCATTCAGAAGAAACACTCCCCTGGTTTCCAAAGCTTAGTGCTTCTGAGATATGTGCCTCCCTATGGGCAAGTTTTGTTGTCTCAGCACCATGATGCCTGAAATCTTGCGTTTTGGCACCTTCCCCTGCACAGGGAGACAGAGGGGGCAGCAGGGAGGCTCGGTGGCGCCACCCAGTGTTCCAGACCTCCTGGCCTCTGGGACCTTGGACATGTGGGCGAGGAGGGCTCACCAGCAGGGCTGGAAGGGTAGCCTTCTAACACTGTGAGGTGGCCCCCACCTTTTAGCAGAGAACAGGTGGAGCTCCTGGAGCAGAGTGGCTAGAAATGAACCCTAAGATCCCTTTAGTAGCGTGGTGGGGTGGATGAAGGGCTGGGGGAAGGCAATGGTCTAGAAGAAACAAAAATGGGGACCCCTCCAGTCAACAGGAAGCAATAGTCATGAGTCCTTGCTAGAGTTCCAAGTTCACCTCCTATGGTTCTTAACACCTGGAAACTTCCTGGAGGCTCACTTCCAGGGGGGGAGTACGGTGTGTGGGAAAGGGCTGGGGGGCTGGAGAGGCTCAGCTGTTGGCAAGGTGCATGTCTAGTGTCAGGAAAGACCTTGGGTGTCTTGGCACAGAGTGCAGAGCACTTGGGATGGTCCCCTCAAATCCCTTTTATGGTGAGGAAGGAGGCAGGGAGGGTTCTGGGGACAAGATAAAGAGACCATCCGTGTATATGCATTGTTCTCCAGTTAGGTACTGTTATGGTCTGAATGTTTGTGCCTTCCCCACCCCCAATTCATCAGTTGAAATCCTAATGCTCAATGCGATGGGGCCTGTGGGATGTGGTTAGGTCATGAGGGTGGAGCCCTCTTGAATGGGATTAGTGCTCTTATAAAAGGGGCCCTACAGAGCCCCCAGCCGCTTCCACCATGTGAGGACACAGCCAGAAGTAGGCAGTACAGCCCTGAACTGAACCGTGGTGGCACGCTGGTCTTGGGCTGCCAGCCTCCAGAACTGTGAGCAATACATTTCTGTTGTACATAAAACCACCCAGACTGTGGCATTTTGTTACGGCAGCCTGAACAGACTAAACAGGTATTATGGCAGGAACTGTCTATCATCCAAAAAAGAAACATCTAAACAGGTTAGGCCTGAGATGCTTTAGTGCAGATGTGGTCTGTTGCTCCTAACCATCTAGGTTGGGGTTAAACTAAAAGCAAGAAGTGGGGGAGCAAGCAGGTTAGTCAGGGTGAAGGCAGGTGTGTGGGCTTGGGGAAGAGGAGTACACTCTGGAGTGAGGGTCTGAGATAAATGCAAATTCTTTGTAAGCGATAAAGGCTTGTTCCAGGTTAGGCATTGCTGACTCGCTGCATGGAGTCCCTGGGGTCCACAGTATGACTGTCCAGACAGGTCTGCTCTGCCTCATAGTGGCTGAGCACCCTGCAGTCCTTAAAGAGCCTTCACCGATTTCCCACTGGCCGACTCTTTCTCAGGAATCCTTAAGGCAAAGCTGGTGTCGTGGGCATGCAACCTGCCTCGTCTTAGAGGCTCATGCTTGGCTTCAAGCGCTGCTGACACCCGCTTGAAATTCTTAATTTTTGAACAAGGGGCCTGCATTTTCATTTTGCACTAGGCCCTGCAAACTATGTACTCAGTTTGCCCTGAGGGGCACCTTTTCTAGAAAAACAGCATTTTCTTATAGCTGTGCTTGTTCAGAGAGAGTCTGAGAACATTAGCTCATACATCTTCCTAGTTAATGTCTTCTATCCCACCTATTTTTTTTCTTCTGATTTGTTTTTATTGGGATATAGGGGATGGGCCAGGAAATTCCACCCCCAGCCCCCATTTCTCCTTTTCCTTTTCTGAATTAGATGTTGATTATCATTTGGTCAAAGCACACCAGCCACTAGCCAACACCAATGTGAATAAAACCTCGACTCCCCCAGGAGATGCTCACAGTCTGGTGGGGGAGGTGAATATGTACAAAATGACTTTGATAGGGGAATGCTGAAACGCTTGGGAGAGCTATTCTTTGCAGGAAACTATTTAATTATGAAATCATAAATGATAAGCACATTTAAATACACATGCCTCCTAGTTTTGCTTGGTCACATTCTTTTTGCATAGAATGACAAAGAGTGACTTCCCAGGTTGCCACTGCTGTCCGCACAGCAGCCCAACGCCCTGGGGCCAGCCTGGTGAGGCCTGGGGTTTAAAGATTCCCATGCATTGTTGTGGGCCTGCTCCCAAGTGCCCCTTGGCCCCGGAGCCTCTTGGTGACAATGATAAAGTTAGTTCACCCATTATGGTTTTCCTCTAAATCAGGGTTTAGACTTTTGCAGGCCGTACAGTTTCTGTTGCAACTCCTCATCTCCGGTTGTAGCTCAAAAGCAGCCTTAGTAAGTCAACAAGTACTCATGGCTGTTTCCAATAAACTCCATTTACAGAAACGGGCAGCAGGCTGGACTTGGCCCACAGGCTGTCGTTTTCTGACCCCTGCTCTATTTGATTATAATTTGGAGGTAGAGTGGTCTAGAAGAGAGTGTTTCCATTTTGAAATAAGGCAAAAGAGACAGATTAATTGAGAAGAACGTAATAGATTCTTTACAAAGGTGCAGGCAGGATTTAAGGACACCAAGAAGGAACAATGCAATATTTGTGGCAGGTAGCAACAGAGAACCCTTATAAACCATAAGAGCAAGGAGCGGGAGGAATTTTGGGAACCCAGAGAGGGAAACTATATGGAGAAGGCACTTAACAGAGGAAAATAGAGGAACATAGCCAATCCTATCACATCCAATCCTATTACATACCCACCCCAACTGTCAAACCCAACAGGAAGGCAGAGAAGAGGAAGGCTGGAGTTGGTCTACACGGGTCAGTCTCCAGGGTGCAGAACAGGAAGAGCAGGGTAACAGAGTGGACCTTGAGGGGTCAATGGAAGTTCTCCTGCACAGCATCCTATGGTGAACCAATATGGTGAACCTATGGAGCTACCGCGAGGATTCACAAATAGTATCCTTCTTGCAATCTGATATTTCTCATTTCCAACTGAGTGCTGGCCACGACACTGTAGCTGGAACAGTGAATAACTTAAGTTGGAAGATCTCAGGTGGGAATATAATGGAAACACACAGCAAAGAGATGCCCTCGGAACTTTCTGCCTTACTGCTTTGGTTGAGCTATTTAAAAAACATTTCACATAATGTTCTTATTGGAATCAGTCTGACAGTAATTTGTGATTATTTCCCCCAAGAAAACCACTAGCTTTTACCATCTCTTTCAATTATCATCTGTCTTAATTCTTAGCACACACATCAATATTTGTCCTTCAAAAAAAATCCCACAAACAAAATTTTCTGAGCATCTTAAAACATCAATGGCCCGTGTTTAATAGAACAAGACAAAAAATACTTTTCTTTTAAAAATTTTATCTTTATGATTTTGTTAGAGTAGGCAGTTTGACAGGCATGAACAGAACAGGAAAAATAGGCCAGGTACAGAATATCACCTGGGCAGAAAGTCTCAGGTGCCTAGCAATGGGCAAAACTGTAAAAACAAGTATTAATAGTCTAGGACCTTAATCACAGGATATAACCTTTCCTCCCCTAGCATGTCGCTGGTCATGTGGCTTAGACCCCCTGACCCTTCATATCACTAGTCATTCTGTTTAGACCCCTTTACAGGAGAAACAAGGGGGCTAGGGATTAGCCTCATAAGACTCCCATATAAAACCTTGCACAACCACTTCCTCAAGCATTGAGCCCTCAGGATAATGAGGTTCTGGTCAACATCAAATAATCTTAGGAACAAAGCCTTGGGTCTATTGACCACAGAGACAGAGTTTTGGTCAAACTAGAGATAACATCTAGACTTCAGTTGTGTTTCAGCTCCAGGCCCAAAAAAAGCAGCAAAATCAGATAAAGGGATGCCATGGCTGATATCAAAACCAGATGTAATGACTAATGACCTTCTCCCCAGCACCAACCAATCAGTAAAGACCACGACTGTGAAGAGTCACACATGGAAATCTGATGAATATTCCATTGAGATCCTCCCCTGAGATCTCCCCTGAAATCCCCACCTTTGGAAGATCAAAATTCTTAAGATAAAGGACCCCAGTGCGCTCTCTCTCTCTCTCTCTCTCTCTCTCAAGCATGCCCACACTTCTTTCCTTCTAGGGCGCGCTATGGAGCACACCCCCACCTTTCCCCCTCTTCTTCCCTCAGGGGCCTTATCTTTGCTTTCTTCTTCCTAAGCTCCAAGGGCCCTTCTTTTGCTCTGTAACTTGTTTCCTGAGTCCATGTAGCCCCCCTGGCTCACTTCTACTACCTCTGTGACTTCCTACATACATTTCTTATGTTTGAATTCTTGGCTTTGAATTCTTTCTTAGCCACACTCAAGAACTGAGGTCCAACACTCTAACTCCGTTGTTAACAACTTTATCCCAAATAATTTTCTAAACACAGGGTACACTATTGTCCATGTGCTCCAAATACCAAATGGCCAGAGCAATGCTACCCCCATCACTCCTGGAAGGTAGGGGATTTGCAGTCCTGTCTGTGCCTCTACTTCTTCTTCAGATGGTAAAGGAGCAGCTTAAGCAGAAGGTGGCTAAAGGTACTGTAATTTGGGGCTGGTCTGTCTGTCCCCAGCAGGCCTG